CCCTGTTTATTAATTTTGTAGTGTTGTGACTTACAATTGAAAGTAAATTGCCCAAAAGAAAAATCTGGTTCATTTGACCAAACCAAAGGAATCTGAAGACCATGGAGAGAGCAGCGTTTCCATCAATTATGTCCTCCTTTCCTGCAGCCGCTGGAGCTACTGAGGCTGGGTTCTGTGGCCATAGTGGTCAGAGTCCCACAGAGATGGTGGACGGCCATCACAATGAGAACACATTTCCTCCAGAAGCAAGAGATCTTCCATACAATTGGATTGCTCTTTCCTTTCTGCTTGCCATTTTCTGGGTTGTCAAAGTCCTAGTGTTTTGTGGGTGGCAAAATGATGTCATTTTCTTCAACAGCTTGTAATAATTTCCACTCCCAACTCTTCACAAGAGGTACAAATTACCAAAGAAAAAGGGCTATCAGCTTACAGATGGCAGTGTCACTTTTCTTTTCCATTGAGATCACAATATCCTTCTTTCTAGCTGAATGACAATTGTGCTGTCACTAAAATTACGTAACGCTCTTTCCCCTGAGAGGTTATGCTTTAGGATTCAAAGGACAGCTGTCAAAATACAACATGCTCTATTCTGGGCGTTGGAAGTCTCTTAGGGGGTTGTACAGATGAGTTTGGCTTTTTCTTTTCTCGTGTGGATCATAGATAGAATTAACAGTGGAATGTAAATTAGAAAATGACATTTATGTGGCAAGTTAAGTGAAACACCTGAGATATGATGACACACTAAAATAACTTGTGTTTGCTGTAAATCACCAGGGTCACAGGTGAAAATAAATGGCAGCAGTGCACTGACTCAGTGCAGTTTGGTAGCCTACACTGAAACTGATTTTCCTCTTTATTTTCTATGCTATTAGGCTGTACAATGTGTAGTAAAAGCTGCTGTGATTTTCTAGGTGTTCCCTAATATCTTGAAATCAGCTGTGCTGTAATACTGTCCATTGCTGCCAATTGCTGTGAACAAGCACTACATCAAGGAGATTCAGTCTAGTCTTCCACTGTGATTGGGAGGAAAAAACTCCAGTAGTTTTAGAACATTTCCCAAAACAGAAAGAGGAAAGAAGAATAAAAGAAAAAAAATAAAAGAGGAGAAATGCTGGAAAAAGTATCTTGGTTTAGGCAAAAAACATGGAGCCACATTTCTGTCTGAAGGAATAGAACAGGACTGTTTTTGAGGAGTCAGAGCGGCTCTATAAGGTGACTTTTATTTCCTTTGAAGCTGAATGTAACAAAGAAGTGTGTATATGTTGTTTTCGGAAAGGAAAGGAAAGGGAAGGAAAGGGAAGGAAAGGGAAGGAAAGGGAAGGAAAGGGAAGGAAAGGAAAGGAAAGGAAAGGAAAGGAAAGGAAAGGAAAGGAAAGGAAAGGAAAGGAAAGGAAAGGAAAGGAAAGGAAAGGAAAGGAAAGGAAAGGAAAGGAAAAGGAAAGGAAAAAGGAAAGGAAAAAGGAAAGGAAAGGAAGGGGAAGGGGGAAAGGGGGAAGGGGGGAAGGGGGAAAAGGCGAAGGGGGAAGGGGGAAGGGGAAAAGAGGAAGGGGAAGGGGGAAGGGGAAAAGAGGAAGGGGAAGGGGAGGGGAGGGGAGGGGAGGGGAGGGGAGGGGAGGGAAAGGCAAGGCAACTTTTCTAAATAACAGAAGGCAGCAAATCTAAGCTAGGCCAATGCAGATCTTAAACCCTGAAGCTCAGCTTTTCCTGCTCAAATGACTCATTAACTGGACTGAGTGACACCTCTGGCATTTCTTTCCTGTGGGTCTCAGGCAGTTTCTTGTTTTCTCTCACTATTTCTCAAAATGAGTATTCCCTGCTCACACAACTTCAGTTCCTATTGTAAAACATACTGCAGAAACAGGAAGATCTTAAAAAAACAAGCCTGGTAGTATCAAAGTCCTTGAAATTGGAGAAAATTGATGTGAGGAAGGAGAAGTGTAAGAAAATAGATCAACAATACTGCTTCTAAGGGGTCATTTTCTCCCACCTGCAAATAGGGGGAGAACTCTATACTAGGTGGTAAAAAATCTATATTGAGTAACATAGAATAGGAAAAAGTGTGGCACACATATGAATGAATCGAACTTTTGTGTGCAGAGCACCTACTTCTGGATTCTGGCAAGCAAGCTAGTTACTTGCTCTAGGTTGCTTAGGTTGCCAGCAAGAAAATACATTAAAATAAAACATACCAAAACAAAACAAATGAAAAACACACACAAAGTGGATGCATACATAACGTCATGTTTTCATGTGATGACCATAACATGGAACTAGTTGTCTGTGACATGAATGGAAGGGGAAACATCTGCAAGATGGACAAACTCTTAGATAAGATACTAATCACATTTTAGGGATACATTTAACATCAGGGATAAGGAGACTAAGATGTACAGGTATTACAAAGCATTCGCTGCTCAGCTGTGTGTGAATGGAAGAAAGGATGGTTTATTTTTTATTTGCTGGTCTGGTTTGTGTGGAAGATCTCTGGGACAGTATTTGTGAACATGTGGGAGATGTTGGCTTGTTTAGTCTAGCAGAAAGAAAGCTGAGGTAGGATGCCATCTCTACCTCCAGACATTATCAGCGAGAGGCAAAGAGTATTTTGTCTAAAGGCCAATGCTGGCATAGGAATGGTCTGGTACAAGTCAACAATAAATAAAGGCTGCCTTTGAAAAATGTTCATAATCCTAGGTGAGGAATTAACTTTCAGAGTAGCGTAGGCAAAAATCTCTCTGTCATCTTAAAATCGAGCTAAAAAAGTTTACAAACAGGCTCACAGGATGGTGACCAATTCCTGTGACCTCTGAGCTCCTTTCCAGGCCCAGGCTCCACTCCTATGCCACGTACATTCTCTCTGAACACATGCTGCCCACCAAGTACACCTCCTGGCCAACCCCCACATGTGGATAAATAACTTGTTGGTAGCATGCTACTCTGCAGGGCGAAGCAGCAGGCAGGAGCAAGCTGTATTAGGATTGCTCCTCTGCACATCGTGCAGCCTACAAAGATCCCAGGGTGAGTTCCCTAGAGCAGAGCTGAGAGGAGGCCTGATGGCAGCTGCAGCTGGACAATGCTGTCAGACACGGTTTGGATTTTAGGTGGTCCAGTGTGAAGCCAGAAGAGGGATTCAGTGATGCTGGTGGACTCCTTCTAACTCAGGATATTCTATGAGTTGCGTTTCCAGGTGTGAGAAGAGGTTAGGAGATTGGGACTGGGGTGCATGTGCAGGGCTTATAGGAGGCTACGAGAGTCAGAGCCAGTAATAACTGTTTGCATCCAAAGATTAGCCACTGCTAACTGCTGATCAGCAGGGAGCAATTGCAGCAAGCATAACCTGTTGCTGCTAATCTCTCTCTAAGAAGAGGTAACAGCTACTGGCAACTCTTTGTCTGGTCTAGTATTAAATGGGGAGGTTGGTGGTCCTGCTTGTGGCAGGGGGATTGTAGACTTATGATCCTTGGGGTCCCTTCCAACCCAGGCCATTCTATGGTTCCATCATTCTGTCTTCAGGACCTTTCTCCCAGGTCCTGCCAGCTCAGCTGCTCCATGCTGGGATCATGTTTGTGAAGAACAGCTTGTGGGTGTCAGTGACTTGAAGCTGGATTATCCTTGGAGAATGCCTGGAGCACAAGGAGGTGGGAGCTGGAGAAGCAAGAGGTGAGGTGGTAATGTGTGCTGCCGTAAGAGGTGATGCAGCATGGAGATGGCAGAAAGGGAGAGGGAAACGGATGTTGTTGATTGGCTGAAGTCTTATTCATGCTTATCTGGCACACCTTCATCTTGCGTGATGGGATGTGATTACGGTTTGGGGTGGGTGAGACCTCTGTGGGGGACCTATGAAGAACTACAAAGCTGCGGCTGCTATTCTCCTCCAGCTCTGCCATGGTACTAATGCAGTTAATGGGAGGAGGACAAGAGCTGAAAATAAAGTTCATCAGCTCCAGAGGCAGAGGGAGCAGAGGGCTGGAGCGAGGGGACAGGTAGAGCAATTTGATTTTAATCAAGTTCTAAATCAGCAAGCTGGAAACACTGATTTACATTATCAATATTAATTTTATTAGCATTTTACACAGAGGAATGAGGTAATTCAGATTCATTCTTATTGGCAGTTCTGACCTAACAGCGCTTCTTGCTGATTAAAGACAGCTCAGCTGTGACCTGCCTCAGCTCCCCTGGGAATTGTGAACCATACTTCTATTTCTACTACATCTGAAAGTAATACTGTATTTATTTCTGTCATTTTTATGTGATCTATATCTTACCGCACTGCGGGGGATTTACGAATTTATTAAAAATGATTTTAAAATGGCTTTTCAGTAACCTGTTATTTAATTAAGGTCATAGAAATGTTTAATTTGATGAAAAAGTCTATTTTTAAACGTGTTAGATGTGCGGAGTGAAACAACGAAAATAGCCTCGCATGAAAAATAGCTTGAGAAGGTGCTGTCTGTGGTTGTGGAGCTCACCTGTTGGTATCGGGTCTTGGCTTTTCAAAGACTTTTAGACTTACTCATTCTCACCCTCTCTGTATTGTTATTTTTGCTGGTTTTGTTGGTACTTTTTCATATGCTAAAGTAGGGGGATAATCTACATTTCTCCTTTTTCTTTTTGAATTAATGATTACTCAGTCACAGAAGTTGGCTAGTACAGAAATAAGGGAAGATAAACTTGTTTGAAGAGAAAGTGAGTAGATTTACTTAATCTGGTACAGGTTACCGTGCTGGACTATCCCAGCTGGCTTTATTTTCAAGCTTGGTGGTAAATACAGTACCGGCATCTTGCAATCGCTTCACTCATAAAGATTTTTTGGAAGAGGCCGTATCTTTCAAAGCTAATTTGAACGTCTGGAATAAAATTAGGCGTAGCTTTCATCTTTTGCCCCTTTTCACCCACCCGACTTCCCCACGCAGCCCGGTGCCGGGCCGAAGGCTGGCGGGGCGGGCGGCACAGAGGGCGGGGCCGGCGGCGGGCGGGCAGGGAGGGAGGCGGCGGCCGCCCGGGGCTTTTCGCCGCTCGCCGCCTCGTCGCTGCCATGGCTTCGCTGCGCTCCGGCCCGGCCTGGTGCCGCCTGCTCGCCTGGGCCGCGCTCGGCCCCGTGCTTTGCGGAGGGTCGGTGCGCGCCGAGCCGGAGCCGGGCGCGGAGCCGGAGGCGGACCCGCACGCGCGGCACCTCTACAGCGCCGAGATGCTGCGGCACGGCGCCGCCGCCGCCCCGCACTTCGTCATGTTCTTCGCCCCGTGGTGGGTATCGGAGCGCCGGGAGGGCCGGCACGGCTCGGCTCGGCCCGGCCCGGCCCTGCGCGGCGTCTCCCAGCCCGCCTCTTCCCCCGTTGACGTGGCGCCGGGAGGCGGCCGGGCCGGGGAGGCCGCGGGGTCGCTCCGTGCGCCTTCCGCCGGGCGAGGGGCGGCACACGTGGTGAATGGCGGCCGCGGAGGGCCGGGCCGGGGACGGGGTGAAGCCTGGTGCGAATCGCCGCACCCCAAGCGCGACCTCCGGCCCTGAAATGCGACCCTCCGCCGAGGGGAGGCGGCTGGGCTGGATGGGGATGGAGCGGAGCAGCCCTGTCTCGGCGGTGGGACGGGGAGCCGTGCAGGGAGCCTGCAGCAGCTTTGCACACAGACCGAGGGCTTTTGTTGTGCCAGCGAAATGGAGGGTTTGTTGACTTGCACGTCCCCGGCCCTGTAGATACTTTCTTGAAGAAGTTTAGTCCTCTTTGCTGTTGCAGATGTGAGGATAAGTTTGCTGCAAAAGTAGTAGAAATGAAAGCCTTCAAGCAGTAGAAGAAGTCCCGAAGGCCACAGGTAGTATTAGCAGAGCTGGGGAGCTACCACGTGTGCAGGATATTTGCTAGGTTCTTGTTCTAGGCTGGCATGTTTGACACGAGAATAGTCGGGTAGAGGCTGAGAACAGGACTTGGATGGGCATTACAGCAGTCAGTGGGACAGTAGTTCTCATCTCTGGGCCTCTCCAGTGGTTGCTCTTGTTCTCCTTTTCTTCTTCGCTCTCCCCTTTTTTTTTTTTTTATCTATCTCTGACTTATCCTGTAGTGTTATTGCAAGTTTTGTTGTTAGGGCTGCTTTTTTTCCTCCCCGAGTTTTCTTAGGTTGAGATAATGGAAGGATGTCTTCGCAATAGGTACGTTTTGGTCCAAAGCTAACCTTTTGGTACCTGGTGCCATTGAGGCACGCTTATGTCATGATGCTCTTTGAAATCAAAGCTAGAGAAGTATTTCCTTTAAAAAATGAATTGCTTTTTTTTTTTTTTTTTTTTTTTTTTTTTTGTTACTGCCATCAGCTTGTTTATGACATACAGAGGTGTTAAGCAAAAGCTTGAAAGACCAGATATCTTCCTTTGCTCTCTGAAAGTTACAAAACAGAGGAAGCCCAACTTGCTGGTGAAGGATCTTTGAGAGTAAGGTCAAAGAAATTGCTATGCAGAGTAGGAGTGCTCAGGAGGTAATATCTGCATCTCTTCAAGCTTCAACTGACTGTTTCACAGGCATCTCTGAAGCCATATGGACTTTTGTCTTGGATCACAGTTGTAGGAGACCCTGTGCCAAAAAGGCCATTGCAGAGTCCAACATATGCTTCACATCCTCACTGTATCAGAGAGAGCTCTGGCCTTGCCATGATATCAGATGGTAGTCTAACAGCCTCAGAGTAGACTGTAGACTCTTCTAATAGAACCTCCAGCCATACTGCTAGTTGATTCTAATGTGCTAATCTCCTTGTGCTTCTCACTGACATTTTGGCACTGCTCTGTTTAGTTAGTGAGGCAGAAGCCTAGCAAACTCTACAACGTTCAGTTGAATTTTCTTTTGGATTGTTACAGATGTTGGTAATGTTAGATAATGAAGGCTGCCAATGAGTTAAGATAGACAGGATCAACCTCTTCTGCAGAATTCTTCAAACAAACACTGCCATGGGCCTCCCTCTTCCTGTTCTTATAGAAGCAGTACCAATAAGGTCTCACACTTGTTTCAAATACTGTGGGCCAATACAAATAAATAAAGAAAAAGCACTCCAGGTCATTTGCCATCAGATTTTTGATCATCGCCTCGTCTTCCTTGGTATCTACGCTTGAACAGGTTTGCCTCTCAGTGACACTAAATAGCTTAAGATTTTGGCCTAGCCAGTTGTGTGCCTATAAAAAAGGGAAGTTTCCCCGATTCCTTAGTTGGAAGGACTCTTAGATGAGCAGTTTCATTGCTTTATTTTGACCACTGTGATCTTTTAGCATATTCTGGAAGTCCACCGAACTGAAGCATTAGCATGCTGGATTGCCAGAGTTTGTTGTGGTTGTACTGAAATCTCTTGACTGGAATTGATCTTGGCTGGACTCATTTGTGCAGAGGGGGTTGGTCCTAGGATGCTTGCACCATTATACCTACCTAACCTAGGGTATGTGGGTGTTTTTAAGTTAGGTGATGATTTGCATCATGTCTTGCTGTGGAGTTACCCTAGCTAAGTGCAGAACTGTGGATGTACTGGTGGCATCCAAAAATGTCTTTGTTCCTCACTAGCTACCCCTAGCCTAGGAAGTCCGCCATCAGGTCTTCCAGGGGAGAAGCACTGATACTGTAAGAGGAGCATTGATCTATCAGTGTGAGGTAAAACAGCATGCATGGTATTCCCTAGATACTGCCACAGCAAAATAATCTCCAGGCACAAGCACTTGGAGCTCACATTGCTTAGAGTTCAAATGAGCAACCTATCTGCAGACTCTTACAAAAAAATTCTCTCCTTATGTCCTGGTGTTAGTAGTGTACACGAAGAAGGATTTTTGTTTTGTTTTGTTCTCAGCAATCTGAATCTTTTTTATAGCATCTCTTTTGCATATTGATTTATCTGTATAAACAGAAATTATGTAGGGAAGGAAAGGCAGAGCTGCTTGTTGATTGCTCTCTACCATCCCTGCTGGCTGTTCTTCTCTTCCAGTCCCACTGATATAAAATGGGGATGATAACTGTGTATGTACATGGGACTAAGAGAGATGCATAATGTTATACAGGCTTGCTGTCTTTGGTTTTGAGTTCTCAGATTTATATAGTCTCCTGTTATGTCTTAGGCATTCTAGAAGGGAGTATTGGAGGGACAGTCTTGCCTTTTACTTCTTTAAATATAAACTGAATTTTTATGAAAACCGAGAATGACTAACTAGTTTGTTTCTGATTTAGATATGAGCCTTTTTCCTGCTTTATTTTCAGTTTCAGCTCATGTAATCTGAAGAAAGAAGGGAACGGTAAACTGTGTAGAGCAGAGATCACGGTGTTAAATATGAATAAAGCAGTAAAGTGTGAATTAGTTGAGATTTCCTTTCACAGATTTCTATTCTCAGTTACTAAGCACCAGTCAGTATTCACTGAGAATCCCAATTCATCCTCTTGGAGCTCCATGAGGAGTTGAGTGTTCAGTCTGAAGTTAAATATTTAAAGAATATTAAGTTTAGTAATAGCACATTGCATTCCTTCACCATTATAATTCAGAATGAGGTTACATTCCTCTATGTGGTGGGAATATATGCCCCCCAGTGTGACCAGCTGCAACAGAATCTTATCAATATTGAAAGATGGTGAGGTTTTTTGTCTTAATGAATCAGAGAAGCTGGAAAGGTGTGAATCCATTTTCTATGAGTGGGCTCAGAGCCAATTGTATGAGTGAAGTTGTTTTAAATGGCAGATCTGAAGGGAGTAAGAAACAACTTCCTCTGACATCCTAATGCTGTTTCAATTGTTAAAAAGTAGACCTTCTAGGTCATGTCAAAGGCAAAAACAGCTTCCATACTAGTCGAATAGTTTTGTGATTAATCCAGTTGTGTATTTCTAGATGTACTGAAGGATTGGCAAAAGCAGCCATTAAAGAGAAATGGAAATCCTTCTGAAAAGACTTCTTTCCTGCTGCATAAAAGACATGGTATTTTCAAATGTTGGAGAGTATAGAAAGCTGGTCAGCCTCGTGTGATTTTAATTCTAGGCAGCTGGGAAATGCAGACTGCTTTTCTTAATAGCATCACTAGGTTCAGAGGGTGCTCAATAGGCTTTCTCTTAACGTTTTTTACAAGGCATTTGCAGTGTTGTCACACGATACACGGTACTATTCACAGTTACTTACTGTAGCAGTGTTTGAGTATGGAAGATGTCCAACTTAGCTATTTTTAAATGTATCAACATCTCTGATTATTTTGCATATGGCTTTTCCAAAGATCCCTTCCCTTCTAAAGGGAGCAACTGTAAGGAAATATTTTGTTCATTCTGTTGCAGGTGTGGACATTGCCAGCGTCTCCAGCCAACTTGGAATGATCTGGGAGATAAATACAACAACATGGAAAACCCACAGGTCTATGTTGTTAAAGTGGATTGTACTATAGACACTCCTCTGTGCTCTGAATTTGGCGTCCGCGGATACCCTACGTAAGTATAGAAGGAGATCTGGTCCTGTGTCATTCTGTTTTAGTTTTCCATGATCTTCTGCCAACTTGTTGAAGCTAACTTCTAAGCTCTGTGTTTTGGTAGTTTTTCTCTGTAGCCCTGTGAATCTCTTATATTCCATTTAATCCTTTTTACTGTCTTGCCAAGTATGATGTGATATATATGCTACTCTTACTTTTCTTTCTTCCGAAGAAACTGTTTTATGTCTTGGAGATGACTGTTTAAATAAATGTCCAGAATTATCCTCCTCCCTCTCATAGTACCCTGTTCTCTAGCACCTTCCACAGCCCATGCTTTTCAGTTTCCTTCCCTGGGCTCTCTTTGTCTGGTGTGACTGCTGACCTCAGCAACAGACTGAACTTGACATCCGCCCGTGGCTACACTTGCTTTGACGCAGATGAGTGCCACTGATTAGAAGCTGAGAGTTATAAATAGCAAAGTCCTCATTGAAATAGGAATTGTCCTTAAGGGCAATCTGTGGCTTAGTTCCACTAATATACCAAGAAACTAAATACTAAAATGCCAAGAAACAATGAATGTTACAACTTTATTTTAGTATCCCCAGAAGCAAACACTGGTTGCATTTGTATGTTTGCACAGTTTATGTTGTGGCACCATTCCTTACAAAAATAGAAAGAATGGCAGAGACTCTGAGTAAGGAAGAATTGAATGGTTATCTATTATCATCTTGGGAGACGTAATATCACTTGCATTGTGTTGCTTTTCAGCACTTTTCATATGTTCACTTCTTTACAACTTGTGGAATGAGAAGAGAAAAAAAAACATCTAAAGAAGAAAGCAAAACTGGCTGTTTTTTAAATCCCTTGTAAAAGTTGATGTGGGAATGAAAAAAAGTGTCCTAAGTTCTAGAAGTTACCCTTCAAGTTGAGGAAGGTGTGTGATGTTGAAATGAATAATTGGGAATAATCAAGAGAGCTGTTGCTGCAGCCTGAGCTGAATTGCTGTGAATTAATAAAGCGTCTTAACTTCCTTGGAATGTTTCACATGTGTAAATTTTTACCTCACTCTTTTCTACATTTTAATCCTTCAGTTTAAAGCTGCTTAAACCAGGACAAGAACCTCTGAAATACCAAGGCCCGAGAGACTTCCAGGCGCTGGAAAACTGGATGTTGGAAAAACTAAATGGGGAACCATCTGTAAGTAAAAGGGGAATAGGAAAAGGAAATATTTCCTTCTGCAGATTTGCTGATCTATCTATAGGTTAGGTTTCACTCTCTGGCAGAAAATCTGCTCCTGAGAATAAAAGTCAGGTGAGAAAACGATGTGGAGCAGCTTCCAGATAAATTAGAATAATAATAAAATCTGATATCCTATGAGCTGCCTTTTTGTTCCTGTATTTAAAACTACAGGAAGTACATAGTGCAGTTTTTAATGTTTAGCATTTTGATATTTGAAGATTGAATTCTTTATGTCAATTCATTTAACACCTTTAGGCTATAATATCTCTGGAGTAAGAAAAGTGACTTGTCTATAATACAGGATAAATTGCATAATTTCCTCTTAACAATGTGGGATGCTATCTTTAGCTTGATTATTAGCTGATAATGTTGTAGTCTACAGAAAGGGATTAAACTAATTGGTTAAATAAGTTAAACTAATATCATCTCTAGGAGAACTGTTGAGTTTAGCACTTATACATATTAGACAAGCCTTGCCTAAAACTAAATTCTTAATTGCTGTTGCTAATCAAGATAAAACTACATGCTGAGCACAATTAGGAAATGATTATACACAAGCAGTGATATTTTTAATAAGTTTACATTAAATGCTTAACTAATTCATGAAATGTACTTCCCACTTGAATAGGATCCAGAATCTACTGTGGAACCACCAAAAGCTCCTGAACCTAAGCAGGGAATGTATGAACTCTCAGCAGAAAATTTCAAGACGCACATAGCAGAAGGTAACCTTTTTCATAAGCATGAGATACTTGTTTACAGAGACTTACCTAGTGGGAAGTGTGAAGCAGAAACATGAGTTCTTATCGTACCTCCTTCCCAATTAATTTTCCAATAATGCCTCAGTAAAGAGGATGAACCTACATGCTGTGTAAAAATGCTGTAGTTTATTTACGTACACTTTGCACACCAATAGAAAGAAGAATGGCACTACAACCAGAAGACAGTAGAGTTAAGGCCAGATTAAATGAACTGTTTGTGCCCATGTGATGATGTGAATGAAACAGACACTAAAGCTTCCTGAAGAAACCAATTAATTAATTAGAAACACGTTAAGTGTAAAGGAGGATTTTCTGCAGCAAATTTCCCGGTGTGTGTGCCTTATCAGAGAATTACATGGAAATTACAATAGATTCTTCATTCAGCCATCAGGGAAACACTAAGCATTAAACAATTTGAGCAGATTTTGTCAGTTGTTAAGTTCAGTGCATGCATGAATGTTTTAAGATGTATCCATTGGCTTTCATATACCATTGGAGGAGGTATTCTCACAGTGATATCTGATAGTTGAGCAGCTTTATGAAAGCATCTGAAACATCTGTAAAGCTGTTGTCCTCTCTTGACTTCAGCAGTGCTTAAATTTAGCTGAAGGCTTAGGAGTTCCACTTGGAAGGTTGACTTTGGTTCTTAAAAATAGTTTCTATCTACCTTTTTTGTGCACTAGGGTTAAAAGATACGTTTATTTTCTCTCAATCAGAGGAGAGTGTATCGCAGAGTAAATGATTCAAAATAGCTGCTTTTGACTGTATGTTCTTAATTAATTCGTGAGAAATTTCAGTATGGTCTTTACTTGATCAAAGCAGAGCTAGTCAAACATTTCTGAAGGTATTCCTGATGCAGAATAGGCAAGTTAAGACTAAAGTACTTTTGCAGCTTACATTTCCTAGTGATTTTGAGGTATCTCTTGTCTTTCTTCTGTGAACAACCCCCTGAACCAGAAACTCTAGAAATTCTAACCCCCACAGTGGTTCTCAAAGGATTGTAATTCTGTTTAAAAAAAGTTTTCCCACAATCACTGTTTTTTTCCTTCAAATTAAGTTGGGTTTTTTTTTGGTTTAATTAAATTCATTTTTATTTTGTATTAAAAGAGCATTGCTTTGATGTGTGCAAAAGCAGGCAGCAACTTGAATTAATAGTAATTCTCATTAAAGGATATTACATATTCTGGTAATCTGCAATTAGGGTAATAATTTTGAACAATATATTAGTGTGAGGCAGTAGTGAGACTCTCCTCTATGTAAAATGTCATGAAATTCTACAGAGGCAGCAGTTTTTGCAAGGTAGAAACAGAGAAAAAACAGTAAGATGAAGAAAATTATTTAGGCAGCTCATGGACAAAAAGTGATGGTGTTTGCCTAGAAATTTGTAAGTTGAAGTCTAATTTATACTTTGCTTGATGCTGTTATAAATACATATGCCTTGGTTCTTTCTACTCTGTAACAGGGCAAGTGATTGACATAGTAGAACTAGATATTCTAGAAAACTGTTAGGTTTGGTGCTGTAGTTCTAATACTTCAGTTGTTGGCTTGAGGTTGTAAAACTGTTTGGATCTTCAGGGAAATTGGCAACACTGCATACAGTTTTGAAAACCTAATTGCTGAAATACTCTGCCCTGGCTTTTAATTCACAGTATTTCCTATCTTTAACCCAGGAAATACCATGATAAATTTGCAGACAGAGATTAATACCTAGCCTTTAATGGCAGCCAAATTAATTCCAAAAGAGTTAAATCTTTTTCTTTGACTTCAAAGGTAATCACTTCATCAAATTCTTTGCCCCTTGGTGTGGTCACTGCAAGGCTTTGGCCCCAACTTGGGAACAGCTGGCTCTAGCCTTTGAACATTCAGAAACTGTAAAGATTGGCAAGGTAGGTGACATATTCTTTTCTTAATTTGAAGATATTTTGTGCATACGGATGTTTCAGTCAACTGCCATGCTGTTCATTCTGTGATTTGCAAATAATAACTTTTAAATCTCTTTATATTCATAGTTCCTATTTCAATTTTATGATGGTTATTTTCTTTTCGCACATTCAGTATTCTACTTTATGTTGGAAGAAATGGTTGTTTAGTTACAGTTAACAGGACTCCCTCATTTTAAGCAAGAACAACTTGTTAGAAACATTGCATACTCCTCCCTGTGTTTCAGAGAGATTTGGAAATAAGTCTGCATACTTCTTAAATTTTTCCTGTTTATCCCCATTGAGCTTTCTAAAGTTTTCAGGGGGTCTCCCACCCTAAAAACTGATATCTTGTCCTGCTTTACTATTTCCCTTAGGGATGATAACCAGATTCTGTGGTGTATTTACCATGGGAGCTTGATATTTGTACATGGAGTGACTTCTGTGCAGAGGTATGGAGGTGGTCTGGCAATTCTAGTTACTGGCTTTATTTGCTGACCCATACCTAAGTTCAGGTCGCTAATGATGTGAATCTTCCTGGAAGTGTCACTAGTGGAAAGCTGACAGGGCTCAATTTCCATATCCTTAAGCTTTCAGATAGGTTCACTGGTCTGAAAGCCTGCATGATGCTTAGCAGTGCTTGTCTGTCCTGCAGAGAGACAAGAAACCAGCAATCTCATGTCTCTGCTCTCACAGTATTTTCAGCTGTTACTAGGGGTGATGAACTTGACTTTCTTTTCCCTATGAAATGCTTTGATAATTGCTAATTCAGATATGCCATATATGCAGAGAGCAGATGAGCATGGTTAAACTCTAGAGAAGACACGTATCTACTTTTGTGATCAGGTTGATATAAAATACACTCCTCTCTGAGAATAAAGTATCAGAAACTAATATTCCTTTGATACCCTTTGCACCAAATTTGTAAACACTGATTAATTTTTGAGAACGTGGAGTGCCTGATAAAATCATTGCTTAGCTTAACTATCTTCTTGAAGTTACCATTCTATTATCCAGAGGAATATAAACCAAAAACTTTCAGAAGTCATATTCAATTGTCTGTTGTGTTCACAGTTGTCCCTGTTGCTGATATTTGCTCTCTGATAAAGCCACTGAGATTTGTCTCCATGCTTAGTCAGTTTTGTTTAACTGTATACATCATGAAACTATTTGAAATGTGTTGGCTAAGTAGGTCTGTAATTAAACAGGAAATACAGCTGTTTCTAAGAAGATTCAACCATGACCTTTCTGTAATCTGGGGAAATAGTGTCTTAGCAGCAGTGCTATCTGCTGGCATGGTTGTGTTGAATGTTTAGAACTGATCTTCAGCGATCTGGGTCAAAGTATTTCTAATGTAAAATTCAAAATCCGAGTGTAGAGCAAAGACTTAAGTGCCTAAGTTGTCTGTTTGCTTTGCTTCAGAAAAGGTTATGAGCAGGTAACTTTATAGGTTGGTTTATGACAAATTAGAATTGAATGGTGCTACACACGTGGAATTTCCTTTGGAGTCAAGTTAAGTTGCTAGCTGTTGACATGTCTTCTGATTGCAAAGAGTAGTCTTGCTTTTAGGTGAAGATATATTGGCTTATCCATTTTTTAAAAGCTCTTGCATGTTAATATTCCAAGTATTTAACTAGAATATTTATTTTCCCATTATTTTCTTTGCTGTTTTATCCACCCCTCCCTCCCTCTGTTGTCCCTCTTGAAATAAAAGCAAAAACACACATAGCCTCCTGGTGACACAACCAAGACACTATTTGGAAGGCTGCAATAACTGTTCTCAAGAAAATACTCGGCACTGGCTTTTGCCAAGCTATGTATTGACTGTTCATGTATTTTTCTGGGATTTCTGATGCTCTAATGCTTATTGTGTGTTTATTTTACACACTGAATGATTTATAATTATTTTTTTTTTAAATGTAGGTCGACTGTACCCAACATTATGAGGTCTGCTCTGAAAATCAAGTTCGTGGCTATCCTACACTCCTCTGGTTTAGAAATGGTGAAAAGGTGAGTCTGCAAGCTCAGCAAAAGATCAGACTGTTTTTTCCTGAGTAATACATGGACTACGCTTGGATCCTGAGAAAAAAGATCAAGTGGTCATATATGAAAGTCCACTTGTGACACAAAAGATGTTGCAGGTTCAAACCAGTACTAGAAGAGAGATACTTGATCCACAAGTAAAACTTAGAACGTTTTGCTCAGTGTTCTCTGCAAACAACTGAACGGTGTTCATAAATCTGAAAGCACTATCTTGAAGTGTGCTAATGTGAGAGAGATGCTAATGTGAGAGGAATTCTCTCTTTATCATAGGACTCTACCTCCTATAGAACACGAAATGAAATAGAAATAATAAAAATATATTCAATTTTCATAATATGTATCAAAGGGTTCTTGTCTGTAAGTGATGCCAGTCTAATGAGTGATGTCTGAGAATGAAAGTTTTCCTTCATAGAAATCTTCATACAGACTCTGTGAGTGAGAGTCTTGTGCACCCAGCTGATGTTTCCCCTGTAGAAATTCAGAGATACCATGTTCTGAAGTTTGGGGAAAGTAAAATATTTATATACTGCGTATTTTAATGCTGCATACGTGAACAGCAGCAAACATACTATGAATAGTAGTGTTGCTTTCAGGTGTAACTGAAAGAGAGCTTGAATTGGACAAAATGGCACATCCAAGGTTAGAAGTATTTTCAGTTAGTAAGAATTTGGTCTGTTCATGGATTTAGTTTGAAGAACAGGAAATGTTCTGCTGTTGCTCCAGCATGATTTTCCAACTGTTTTATTTTTATTCTTAACATGGCTACAAAGGGCAAGATAACTTGCCAGAACTGTAATGGCTCAGCGTTGAAAAGTTAGCTGTGTTTTTTCTCAAAAGCCAGACTTTTTTTTTTCATAATTACTGAAGTTTAAATTGCAGTGAATAAAGGGTACAGTGGAAGAACTCAGATCACTGCTATTGTATTTGGTTAATATGAATCTCAGCCATTTGTCTGAACAATGTATTTCTCTTGACGTTAAACTGGCCTGTCTCCACTGGCAGTGTTGGTATTCCCTGGTGACTTTCTGCCATCATAATCACATGTTTGTTTGTGGGCTGATACAATATATTTAAAAGTTTAAAAAAAAAGCCCACAAAAACAGCAATTTTCCAATAATGTAACACAGAGATTCCTGGAAGTCCTTCTATTGTACCAGTAACATGGGGGAAGAGGAGGGCTGCTGGTTCAGCCATCCAGCATTGTTGTCCATGATGCCGTCACCCATTCTGTCATAACTGACTGGCATCACAACACCCATGTTGGTTAGAGGTGGAAGCAGAAGCCCTGTGAGGAATGAATGTGGATTGACCCTGTCCCGTAAAGGATATGAACAAGAAGGTAGCACAGTGAACTGTTGGGTAGGGCATTCCAGCAGTGGCAGTGGGTCACCACTGCTGGTGCAGATTTTTTATGAGCATGGCATGCAGGCTCTTGTTCATCGCTGGTAAAAATGCAGAACTAATAGTTATTGTTTTGCAGCTGGGAATTTGCTGTATCAAATGGTGTTATTGTGCTCTTTGTAGCCATTGTCATTTCCATGGGAATAAATAGGAGGCGTTACTTTTGGAGCGACCTACACCTGTGCTGGATTAACTGCTCACACTCACACAAGCTATTTGATAATTGTAGGGTGACCAGTATAAAGGGAAGAGGGACTTTGATTCCTTGAAGGAGTATGTGGATTCCCAACTACAGAGCTCTGGGAAAGAACCACCAGCAAGTAAACCCACAGAAGCCCCACAGCCTCCTGCAGAACCCACCCAGGCTGAGGTAGGTTGTCCTGCACTCTGCTACTGTATTAACAGAGTTTCAGCAGCCTGTCCAAGTTTTCCATGTGTTTCTCTCTCTGTTGGACCCACAATTTCTAGATGTGAGCTGGGCCAGTATTTTCTTAATTTTCTTTTCAGCAGTTAGTGAGGGGAATCCGACCATAAATCTTACTGACACTTTTACTAACCTGATGAATTAGAGAATGTAATGAATAGCTACCTCCTTTTATTTCAATGATTGCAATAAGTGATTTAGACAGTGTTGTAAGCGTGGTCTTTTTTGGTGTGCTGAACTACTGGCACCTCCATGTATGCCAGCACACTTTGTTGCTAGGGAGATGAATGTCACTTGCAAGATTCTCACTTGAACCCAAGGAGATGGCATACAATGCTGAGCCACTGAAAAAAAGCCAAATTTCCATTCTTACAGACTATCTGCAGAAACAGCAAACAAGCAAAGACGATGAAGATTGATCTAAATGTCTTAGGGCAGTGTGCACTGTGGCAATAAAACTCCTTGGGTTTTGAGGCTTATTTTAATCCTATTGTAGCAGCTGGAGGGTTTATGAATATTGCCAAGGACTGTCAGGAATAACTTCTTCATCTTTGCATAGCTGTGCTTCACATCATGTAATTCTCTCTTTTTTTCATCACTTCTGCATTTCATCTGCCATAGGGATAATTTTTAAGCGTTCTGTGTTATCAAACATGGAAAACAATTCTGCCCAAAAAGTAAGGGATGGTGATTTACACTCCCTTGTGATATACATTGTACTTACATAATTAAAAAAGTTTATATTACTAATGTAAATACAGCTTATATGTAGCTTCTCACAAGAGAATATTACCTTTCCTATTTGGCTTCTTCCAGTTGGGTTGCTCATCTTACATAAGGTGGCTTTCAAGTAGTGATGTTAAGAGATGCAATTTTCATCTTTCTCAACTTTTTCTTTTTAAATTGACCTCATATTTGGAAGATGTTAACAACTGTTAACCTGATGTTAGTACAATACAGAAAGTAATTAATCTTCACTCTATTTTTAGAGAAATAAACTACATATGATGCAAATTCCCACTTACACCTTGACTACACTACTGCACATGCAAAAGGGAAAAGACCACAGGAAGGCAGGGTTTTTTTGCTAAATAATAGTAGATACAGTGTAGAACTGAACTTTTCCTTGCAGCTTTACATCTCAACTCAGTATTGCCACAATTTCTTGGTTGTTCATCTTAGATACCTTGGTTCTGATTTTCTTCTCATGAGAACAGGATTCTAGCCCATGTAGCTGGGAAGCACTGACTGTGATTAGCAGCCACAGCTGATACCACAGGCAGCAAAAGCCATGAGTTCTGACTCCAAATCTGTGTTCCAATATTGTGTTCCAACCTTGTGTGGGTTCTTATTTTATATGGACACACTACATGTCAGTCTTTTCACAAAAGTTGAACTTTTATATCTGTCAGACTTCAGAGCAGCCACACTTACCCAAAGTACTCAAAAATGATCCAGATGTGTTAAGGCAGAATGACCAACACAGATGCTGTCATTGTCTGCATTCAAGTCTCTTTTTGGCTTCTCTTCGTAAAACTTTCACTGCAGAATTGATAATCCTGGCAGCTGCTCTCTTGTGTTTGTTTTGCTTTCATTTGAATTTGAAACCTTTATAGGCATGAGATTCACTCATTTATTTATTTTGAATCCCTCCCATCTCTAAAGGTGTCACACAAAAATCCAGTTAGTTATGGCTCTGTGCTCTCATGCAATGTGTGAGTCTGTCTTTAACCAGTGTGCAGTCCTCCCATCTCTCCTGTGCCATTGCTCCTGATGTTATCAGGAGGAAAAATTCTTCATGGCATCCATGTGACTGTGGTGTGGTGATGTTCTCCTGGCAGCCTGTGTTGCCAGGAGATATGTGTTTCTGGTAACAGCTTTCTCTGTGTGTGCAACACAGGGAAATAGCAGAGGGAGATCAGCTGTCAAGACAACTCTAGTATGCCATAAATTCCTCATGGAACAAACTCTCCATCAGCCATCACAGGCTTTATGCCAACTGCTCTCATCATTGTTCTTGAAATGCTTGCATGACAGCGTATTGAAGTAAAAGTGATTTATTTTTTTAAGAGCAGATAAATTTGCCTGTCAGTAGAATCCCCTGAAAATGGGGATCTGTTATTTCTTCAGATATGGATCTCTGTAAGGATGGAAAGCAGCTAAGGAGTAGATGTGAGGTGTATTGCTTTTAATCTTGTTCATACCATCAATAATGCTGTCTTTCCCACTTTGAATTTCCCTCTCAGGTAGTTAAATGCTCATTTGGCCAGTGTTAAATACATAACAATGATTTTACTTTCCTTTTTTAGCAGGCTACAGTGCTTTCTCTCTCTGAAAAAGACTTTGATGAAACCATTGCTAGGGGAATCACCTTTATTAAATTCTATGCTCCATGGTAAGTAGTTTGTATCTCCTTTTCAGAGTTATTATTTTAATCTCTGCATTAGTTGTTGCAGGCCTTTGAGTTCCTCTGTAGTACTGCATTTGTTGTCTAGATCTAAAGTGCAAATTAACTGAAAAATGAGTGCGTTGGCAAGAGTTGCAGCCAAAAATTTGGTCTTTTTTAGCTTTCCTGGGATTCCTCTCTGTGGGAAGGCTGAGAGAGAGGCTTTACCATGTTAACCTGCAGCTAATGTCAGGTAACAAGGAGAGCAAAGCTTTCTTCACAGGCTTAGCATGCTCCTATGCTTTGATTAGGGTAAGCTGAAGGAAGGCTATTGGCAGTGCTGGTTGAGAAAGGAGAATGTGCCAGCCATTGGGATCCCTGTGCCACAACCAGCCTCTCTGGGAAGCATTACTTGAGCACCTGAAAATTGGTACAGACTGTAGAGCTTTGGATAACGGGCTGTCACTCTTCAAATATCTGATTAAAAAATTAATTGGCACAAGTGACAACTTTAACACTTTATTAAATGTTCTGTGTAATATACTCTTACAGCAACCTGTTGTAGAAATGATTGATACAGTTGGTGTAGGTGCTGAATTGAAAGCATCGGGGGAAAAAAAGTAATGATGTCCTTCCTATCTGGCCTCTGCCATTTCTGGCATGTCCATCAGAGCCTGGCATTCATTCTGGGATAAGACCCTAGTAATACAAAAGCACAGAATATTTTCCTTTCTGAGACTAAAAGAATTATTTAAGTTTCTCTCTCTGGTTTTTGGACTTCATCCTATATATGTCTGATGAAATTTCAGGAAATTTGTTTGCTATCTTTCTCATCCATTTCCTGGATGAAGAAGAAGAAACCTAGTGTGGGAGGATAGAAGAAAATTAAGTTGAATTTCACTGTGTGAAAGATAATGCATCTCTGATTTCAGACCTGCCATCCCACGAGGGATATAGAAAGATCTTTTATTTGTGGCAGCAGATCATAACTATTGCAAAGCAACACAGGCAAAAATGCAACCTATTTTAAGATGTACTCAGGAGTATCAAAATATTGCCTCTTAACTTGCCAGTAGGTGTGACTGTGTTTCTGATTGTAAGAAAGAAATACTAGGGAAACTTTCATTTCTGTATAGTCTAAATGATGCAGTTTTTTTCCAGTGTTGTCACTCTTACTGCAGTATGATTTGCTGCCTGTTTTATGTCTAGATCTGCTTTTGGATGTGGGAATGTATGTATCTGACACCACTGTGTTAAGAAACACCCACCACTCCACACACCTTCACGTTTACTCTGTTTACTGCTCTCTCTTCACTTCCTTTATCCTTTCTGTGCACTGTAGGAGACTGAGATTGATTCTGTGCCCATTCTGCTATGCCACCAGCAGAACTCATTGTTAAAATTCAGTATTCAGTTGACACCTGTGCACAAAGCTGAAAGATTCTAGTTGGAACCCAGAGCTTGTTGGCAGATAAAGGAATTGGCCATCTGAGAATCTTACAGAAAAATCACAGATAACTGAAAACAACTGAGAGTCTATATTTACGTTTTCTTTATAGCATGGCAATTTAACCAACTTGTGATAATCTGATGGGGTCTTGCTGGAAAGAATCATGTTCTTAATCAGTATGCTCTCCCTGGCTGTGAAGTTCAGGAAGCCACCATTTAGGAAAATACTGCTTATATTTATGTAGCTGATATCCAGTTTTAGCTCTCAAAGTCATGCTTATGTATACAGTTACAGTGCACTGCCTGTAAATCACCTTTTTCTCTTCCAAGTGAATTAACTTTCACTGGGCTGAGCAAACACTACTATATTGCTTGCTAGTTCTGTCCTTCAGTTAGTTTTGGTTAAATATTCATGCTAACTTGCATAATAAGCATAAAAATCATCCTGTTTCCATTAAGTTTTGTGCATAGTCAGAAATGCTTTTATACTGTTGTACATTAACAAGGTGGTTTAAACATATGTAGGGCTTGTATTAAGTGAACTTTAGCAGAGACATCTTTCATTGTTTTTGTGAATGCCCTGATCTAGCTTCAGGGCAATTAAAGGGCTGTTCTAATTACCCAATTAAGGTGCAGCTGGTTAGAATACAATGAGCGCAGCCTTAAAGTCTGAAGCACTTTGGGAGTTCTTCTTGAAGGCAATAAGAAGTTCAAGTTATTAACTTGGCCAAGCCCTGTTCAAACTATCAACAACATTAATACTTTACTATAGTTCTTGTCATTTTACAACATCATTTTCTCTTCTGACACTAGTCCTTTGGTGTGTACCCTGTGGACTGTATTCTCGTGTTACTACAGGGAGAGTATGTTCCCTTATCCCAGAACATGAGGGAATAAAGTTGAAATAGGCTTTTTATGTTGACGATGTTACTGGAACTATTCTGTATATAATGCAAATCAGAATAGGGTCTGATATTCCTTCTGCTAAATGATGCTTATTGACTGCCACACCACTCCACTGTGGTTGTACCTGAAAGCACAGTGATAGTAGTTAAACTTCAAAGTAAAGTTCTTCCCAGAAAGTTAATGCACTCTAAATGGAAAAGTGCATTCAACTACCAGTGTGTATCTCAAACAGAGAATCTGTGCTGAGAAATGTGTCTATTAAAATTGAATTTCCAGCACCAGGAGTTGCTACTTTACTCAAGGAGGCAATTGGGAACTGGAGGAAATTCAGTAGGGAAATCAAAATCTCATTTAGGTAATTAAACTCAAGCCATTTAAACTAAGTGTAAATGGCACATACTACCTGATGAAGTATTATTAATTAATTCATTGTTTGAAAGGCTTAATTAGTACTGCAAACATTCTTATTCAAAACACGTTCATATCTATGTGACTGTGTTTTTTCATTTAAAAATTCTCTGTGCTCATCTTTATTTGGTTTTGTTTTTCTCTGTGAAGTGCTGACAACCAGAATACCATTCCAGAAGAAGAGAATGGAACTACCTCAGTGTTGTACTTAGAGGATATCATTCTCTTCTGTTTCTTTAGCTCATTTAACTGACATAACAGTGCAAGGGAGTTGGAGGCCTAAATCATTAGGGGATGGGAAAGGCAGCTTGTTAAACTTGCAGATATTGCAGTAAGACAGAGATAAACGGGAAGGTGTATCTGCTAAACAAATTTCTTTCTTTGTTTCTAGGTGTGGTCACTGTAAGAACTTGGCTCCGACTTGGGAGAGCCTTGCCAAAGAGCAATTTCCAGGTTTGACTGATGTCAAAATAGCAGAAGTAGACTGCACTGTAGAACGTAACGTCTGCAACAGATTTTCTGTAAGTGTGAAAGAGCTGTAATGAACTGGATGGTATTGGGTACCAAAGCTAGAAGCTCCAGCATGCAGCCCAGCTGGCTGCTGTGTTGTGGGTGCCTGGTGACAGCACAACCGTGTTCTCCATTAGCAAACACAACAAAATGTAGCCCAGAAATGCACCTGATGGCACGGTTTCTTTCATTGATAGTTTGCTCAGTCTTGGTCATTCTCGCTACTGGAAAAAGGTGAAGGAGTCCTTGCTTTGAGAACCAGCATCCCTCTGTGAAACCACCAGTCTTGTGGTATAGCCACTGAAACGTTCTCTTCCTAGAAAATAAAGATTGGCTTGTGGATCTGGTGGCCGCACAATGGGAGATAAAGTTGGCATTCAAGTTGCTGATGGCAGAGCCTAGAGTACTATGTATTTTCCCATTTAACAGTTTTTAGAAATTGCAGGTTGGCAGTGACAGTTCTGGTGCTTTTTTTGTTTTTGGTTTTTTTGTTTTGTTTTTCTTTTTTTAAATTAAGTCAACTTACTTGTTTAGAGTGCATTGGTAGCTTTTCAGAGTCAGAAAAATACCAGTGAGTCTGGAAATCAGTAACATTTTCATTTTTGTGTATGTGTGTGTCTTTTGAAGGTACGTGGATATCCTACGCTTCTGCTTTTCCGAGGTGGAAAGAAAGTCAGTGAACACAACGGAACGAGAGATCTGGAATCACTGCATAGCTTTGTTTTGCGTCAGGCAAGGGATGAATTGTAATAAAAGTCTCAATGCTCTGTCCCTGGCTGTCTCTGTACGGTAGTTGAGGGATTTAAGGCATTGCTAATTTTCAAATGGTATGTTGGGGGGTGGGGTGGGAATTAGGGCTTTTTTGTTCGTTGATTTGTTTTTAGGAAATGGAATGTACTGAACATTGGTATCTTCCCTCTGTGTGTTAAAGGCAAGTTACCCTACTTGAGAAGGAAAACTAACAAGTAGTTACTGTGCAAACGGAGAATATTTTCAGCATTAGTAGTATTGCTACATTTCTGCATTCCTGCAGTGAAGTGTAAATGGTTTCCATTGAGACTAAAATACATTAAGAAAACCAAATTAAGGGCACCAGCAGAATATTTTTGTCTTCAGGTTAGATTTGGTTAAAAAAAGTAATCTTTACATACTGCACACTATTGCTAGAAAGCTAAAAGCTGCAGCTGTGTTAAATAACTACTGCCTCTACAATGGTACTTCCAACCTGTTTGTCTTAATATGGCTGTTGGTTAAGAAATGAAAAGTCACAGGAGGCTGAAAACACACATTTGGAAGATACCAGGCCACCATGAGCTGTTTCCTGTTAATCCTCTCTGCATGGGAGGTTCAGCCATAACAAAAGCAATGGTACTGTAACATGTGCCTGAACATTACTGATGCCATAGTGTACGTGTCAGGTGGATGTTTTTTGTTGTAGACTGCTTCTTTTTATCTCCAGAGGAGTAATTATGCTCTACTTATATAGAGCCAAAGCGAACTGGCTCTATTACAGCTACTTTGTTAATATTAAACGATCAGTTAGACCTCAGAGCTGATTACATGCATTTTCTACCTTCACCTGAATCCAAACTTTGTGTTGACCTGCTCTTTAGTCAGAGCACTTGGAGAACAAGTAGTAAATGTAAGTAATTTTTCCACTCAGCTGTTCGACAGTAGTCTCCAATAGTTTCCCACTCTTCTTGAGCCTTAACCTTTTTTCCAGGTCTAAGTATGAAAGTGTTGCTAAGTTTGAATGTTAGGCCTGTGCACTCCCTGTTGCCTTGGATTATGATACGGATCTATTCTTTGGTGCATAAGATGCTTCATGTTTGATAGTTGAAAGCCAAAGAATGTACACTGCAGGTACTGTCTCAGTAGAATGACAGCAGCAAACCAAGGACTGAATTCTGCCATCCCGTGTGTGCACAGAAACTCATGGAATGAGTATGACGTATACAGGCTGATTTGACTAATCTGTCAAAATGCTGATTTTATCCATCATATGGAGTAGGTTTGTTTTCATTTAAAAAAAAAAAAAAAGCAAAACAGTAATGAACTTTGAAATCAGTGGATAGCTCCTGGTACTTCACTACACTGTCTGTCAAGAACCTTTTGGTTCTGTTCAATCTAAAAATGTGCAAGGGTAAAAAATCCACAATGGAAGCTAAGTGTTGTACTGGCAGATGTGTTAGATCAATGTACATACTTCTGCCTTAAAGGAAGCCTTTATTATCATGTTTTTTAACAACTTTCTAGTGAAGCACAATCTCATGAGTTTCTTGTATAAAATCGAAGTGATACAATTGTTTACACTGAGATTTTTCTAAATAAAAACTTTTTTAAAAAGCAGTCTTTCTATAAATGATACAGCACAATGAATATACAGTGAAAAGTGCAATAAATTATAGCTTGTATTTACAAGAAGCCTTTTAAATGCAAGAATCAAGAGGTAAGTGCATTTAATACAAGTTTAATATTGATCAAAACAATTTGCTGTTAGCTTCTGCTAGACAAACCGTGGCTACCGTGTGAATGTATCCTTTATACCAGTTTGTTAGTTGCGTGAGTTGAAGGGGAAAGGTTGGCCAAATATTTGAATAAGTAAGTTGTTGACATTTTGTCTTCCTGTAAATAAATTGTCCAACTAGAGAATGAATGGCCCCTAAACTTTTACGTCTGAGTTACAGCTGGAGAAGTGTCCAGACTTCCTTCCTGGGCAAGTGGTAGTAAGATGAGGCAGCTCCACTCAGGGAGTGGAAGGAAGTCATGTAAGAACAAATATGTGAAGTTACACTACTCACAGTCAAACACTGATCAGGAAAGATCAGCCACGGTCCAAGTTCATGCTAGTATTTCTAACACAGGGTGCAGCCAAGCCATCTTACTCTTACAGCATCAGATTTAAACTGTGCTTGGAGACCAAGGGACCCAAAAGATTTGCTTTGGCACAATGCATACTATCATGACAGGTTTCAGAGAAGACTAACAGGAGAGGTGTAACAGCTGCTCCTTATAGAGAAAAGGCAATTCCTACCCTTAGAAATTTCGTATTACTATTGTACACGTATATGCTAAGTCTGATGTAGTAACAATGCTTTCTTTAGCGACCCTCTCCCCTCAAAAAGCTCACTGGTTTTGGGTGTTGGATGTCCATCTGCTTAAACTGTAGCACACATCCAAGCAACTGATAAGGCCAAGCTGCTAGGTGAGATTGAGACCATCCCAACCAAGTAAGCACGTGTGCAGGCATATTGACGCTTTGCGAGCTCTAGTTGCAGAGCTGAGCAGCCACTGCAGCTTAGGGTCGCATTTTAAGAATTCCAGCTCTTTGCTCACACCACACCATGTGGTTCCACAAGCCCTTTCCTCCCACAAGGCACATAAATGGTGTTTTGAAAGATTCATCAACTTTTTTTTTTTTTTTTTTTTTCCACTGTCAGGTAGTTCGTGAAAGTAGGGAAGGTAGTATGGAAGTTCATGGTAGAATCACAGAGTCCACGTGAAGACTGTTTGTCAGTGACATCCACAGGCTCTTACTACCATATTCCTGTATTTCTTCAAGATTACATTAGAATTATCATCAAAATAAAGAACTGATATGGCATTTAGTTTGGTAGGTGCACAGCATGGTTTGGGAACGTAATCAGGATTCATAAGATGAACCTGTTGTCGAAAAGAAAACATAATTGATACGATGGTAACTCACTCACTTACAAACTCACCTATGGCTTTAGCACAGGTCTTTCTGGAGACTTACCAGAGTTTGTACGATGGCGTGGTTGGTTGCGTTCATATGTGCATTGAGTGGAAAGGAGCACTCCCCATCACAGTAGTTGGCTGCGTAGCCCTTTGGAGCGATTATCCAGTCCTTTTTAGGAAACAAATGGAACGTGATTTAAATTAAAAAGTTGCCAGCTTCTACAGACAACTGCACCCAATTAAAACCAGCTGAAAATTTTCCACTAACTTTTTCTTGAGGGGAAAAATGTGTTTTCACTGAAGGTTTTTGTGTTGGTTTGTTTTTTTTTTTTTTTTTTGTAAGCTGTGACTTTTCCATGGACACCGATGTTCGTGTCCAAAGAATGGTGCATTGCTACGCGCTTTGCTGCCACAAATGAAAACAGTTTTATTTCCAAAACTGCTGCTGTGGCACTTTGTGAGGATTGTGGTTTGGATGCCTTTATGCTCCAATGTTTCCTGCAGGTTAGGTCCTCTGGCTGAACTACCACTAGGGCCACTGGAGGAAGTTTCATCTGTCTAAATTCTCTACACGTGGGGAAGAATGGCCTCTGAGCTGCAGGTGACAAAGTTCTCCCAGAAAGAAACACAATGTCATGGAAAAAAAAGTGATGTTTCCCCATAGGGATAACACCAAGAAAATTACAGCTTTTCTCCTGCTGCTACAAAAGAGCCAAAAGTAAATTAAAACCAAAAAATGGTCCTTGTTTTAACAGTGCAGAAAGGTGTTTTTAAGGAGTCGTCATCTCCAATTATCAGGAGACACTTCTCTCTTGGCATCAGGTGTCAACACACATCTGGGTTAGCATGAATTTTGCCACAGCAGTAACTAAGCAGCCAGCAACTGTTGCCACAGCTTTCTCACTAAGCTTGCAGTGTGATTGCTGACAAGAGGATTCCTGGACACACCAAAACTACTCCGTCATTTGACATACTCATTCAGCCATAATTTGCTCCTGGTTAAGCAAGCTGCTCTTTGTAAAGCAGGCACTCTGATACACCAGCAAGTGCTGATTATGTAAATACATTTGTGGTTTAGTGCTGTATAAGGGAAGCACTGCAAAGGGTGTGGAGGGGCAAGGTTTTGCAAGCTCTGCACACAAAAAGGTGCTGAATTAAAAAAAGAAGAGGACATTGACTGAAATGTGACATTTAATGCACTAGAGCCTGGGCCCTAAAAAGCTTGCCTGAGACACCCCCCTAGCCTTGCAGTGTCACAACTAAAACCAATCTTTGGTGTAGCCACCGCAGCCAGTGCTAACTTCTGGGGGCACCGGTTAGGGATTTTAACATAAGGGGAAGGTTAATATTGGGTTGATGACTAGAAAAAAACTTGTTTTTGTTAAAACTAGCACTTAAACCATTTGTTTTTCCTTATCATTAGAGGTATGCTGATACGAATCCTTGCCGTGACTCCCGTGAGTGACAGAGGATGGCTGTATATCTGTATCTCATAAAATACCACGCTTCCTCTGGATTCTGTCAAATGTCACAACTATCAATATTTATTTGCCCTTCCCCGTGACGGGTTTTAGCAGGGAGGCACAAGGGACATTTTAAAGCATAATGGCAACCATGAGTGGAATTACCATGACACTGTTTAGCTAACATTTCATAACAAAATGTCTAGTTTACCCAGTGAGAAACATCACACACCTGCCATCCCAAGTCTTGGAAGCTAACGTAAAGTTCATGCTTTCTGCATGCTGTTTTTAAGTCACTGCTGTTGTAATCTGTTAGGATAAAAAAAAGAACAAAACAGGAATTTAGAAAGTTAAAGAAGCAGAGCATCACTGGAGCACACAGCTAGGCAGATGTATGCACTGCAGAGAAGAGTGCTGACGGACAGCCAAACCAGGGCTGAGATTTTTAAGATACCTATGGGAATGGTGGCACCCAAGTAACAGTGACTGGCTTAGAACTCCTTCATCCTCCCTTAAAAACCTGATGAGCAGTCCTCATAAAACACCTCTGCTAAAATCGTTTCTTAAAAATAAATCTCTGCTCCATCACCCAGCACGTGCCACATCTCTGCTGCTGCTCATGTTTCCCATGCATGCTTCCTCAGGGTACAATCACAACACACACAGTTCCTGAGGGCATCACAAGCCCTCGGAGATTCCTTATTGCCCTGTGCTGGTTAGCAGAAGTCCTTGCACACTTCTGATGTCCTGTAGTCCAAAAAACCATGTGCCTTTCCCCAAGCCTGCCCAGTTGGAGGCTCCACATTGCACAGAGGTGCCTCTCAGACCTGTACTTTGCAAAACTTCCCACAGCCCACCACAACACATTGATCTGCAGATGACACAAGAGTTGACGAGCTCTCACCATTAACTTGCTCTGTGTTGCCACCATTGCACAGAGTAGCACAGGATGCCCAGTTGTGACCCTTGCCGTAGCACATAGCAAAGTTCTGACCATACAGAAGTTGCTCAGACATGCCTACAAAATGCAGCTTTTGACTGCGAATGGAATTTCCTCTCTATATTTGGAAAATGAGGCGGCTCCACGCACAAGCACCTGGGACCATGGTGAAGGGAGGACTCATGCTGTGACAGAGGGGCCTTTCACTTCCCCATGGCTGCCCAGATCCAGCTGAGCCGCATGGCCCAGCAGCCATGCCCAAGACTCATGGCAGGGCGAAGAAAACACAGCATCTGTGGCAGGAGACAAAAGAGCATGGATGGGGGCAGCAACTTGCTTGTCCCACAGGCAGGGCCTGGGGCATGGCTTCCCAGCTCTCTACCAATGGGGCTTTCACTCCTGTTGCACGCTCTGCCTGCAGCCCGGCAGGCTGCCATACAAGGGTGGATGCCACATGAGGATGCTGAGGCCTCGTTTTGGCCAAGCAGCCCCCAGTGCCCCTAATGCTGCATGAAAGGGCACGGTCCCAGCACAGCTTTCCACAAACGTGGCAGCTGGGATAGAAAAATATTTTTAGTGACTTTTTCCTTGGCTCTGAATAAGCCTTTCTTTTTCTTCTCCTCCCCCCCCCAACCCTAAGTTGGGGAACTACAAATGCAAATATTTATTCAAAAGAAAACTATAATACTAAAAGCACATCCAACTGACATTAAGGGCAGTCCAGCACCACAGCTGGGTACAGTTAACACCGAGGTCTGAAAAAAGACCCACACCTCAAAACAAACCCAACCTCCAAACCACCACAGATTAGGGAGCTGTTTTTAGAAGCAGTTTGGGTTTTAAACATTTGGGATTGCATTTCAGGCTTTCAATAGCTTTGCTTCAATCACAAACGTAACCAGGTGAGCAGAGCCGGCTCTCAGGCTGCTGCAGCATAAACATGTGCTATTTCAGCCATGCCCAGTAGCTCAGGCTTTTTCTGTTCAACCTTTCCATTTGCAAACCAGACCTACCAAGCCGTAACCAGGGTGTGGGTTGGTTTGTTTTGTTGCTTGGCTTGTTTGGTTTTTTTTGTTTGTTTTGTTTTTAAAGAAGCTTTTTGGTCCTTGAAATTCCTATCCTGAGATGTTTCTTAAGGATCTGGTCATAATGAGGGGGAAAAAATGAGAAGATACTTTTGGTGGTCAAAGGTTAGTACTGGAATACACTACTTAATTGTTCTATGAGAAACATGGTGTTTGGTAGGTAATATTTAAGGAGGCTCAAGGGAAACCTTATCACTCCCAGCAACTTCCTGAAGGGAGGGCTGCAGTGAAGTGGGAGTCAGCTTCTTCTCCCAGGTAAAAGCAATAGGTCAAGAAGAAATGCTCTCATGTCACACCAGGGGAGGTTCAGATTGGATATTAGGAAAAATTATTCTTAGAAGGAGTGGTGAGACACTGGAACAGCCTGCCCAGGGAGGTGGTGGAGTCACTGTCCCTGGAGGTGTCCAAGAAACATATAGATGTGCCACTGAGGGACGTGGTTGGTGGGCATGGTGGGGATGGGTTGGACAAGATGATCTGAGTGGTCTTTTCCAACCTTAATGATTCTATGATTCTACTCCTAGCCAAAGAGGCAGAACTACAGTATTTCCCAAATATGAGTTACCCCAATCATTTATGGGCAAGGGGAGAAGGTGAGGGATGTAGAGAAAACAAGAGTGGGAAGGAAGACTGTGAGCACTCAGAAGTTTAAGAAAACAGAGGAAAAAATTACTGCTTAACAAACAGAACATGCTATGAGTCTGTTCTCACACTGTGTGAAACTGGCCCTAAAAAATCCTGAATGTCACCAAATTCACACCCTTCGTTGCTCACCAGCTACTGTCCATCCCAGGTGGACATCATCACACATAATGATCCATTCCTGATGGTTTGGGGCTTGGCACATGCCCTACAGCCACATAATTATGAGTCAGAAAAGAGTTTTTGATCGAGAGCTCAAGCTCACTGAACTAGTGAACCCAGCCTCCATGACACATTATCCCCAGTCCCTGGAAAGCAGTGTCAGCTGCCCCAGGCCAGTGTGCTCAATTATTTTAGCCCAAATTGCCATGCTCAGTGCCAGAGACATCCACAACCTCTGAGAGTCCACAGAGCTGCTACAGAGTTCTTATAGACTTACTGTAGGTTTAGTACATTTTCTGGTTGGAAACACCAGCTTGGCACTTGCAAGAGGCTGCAAGACTAAAAAAATCAGCAACAACAAAGAAAACAGCCATACATCTCCCGTTACGCACTTAAAATTAGTCTCAAGGCTTTTAATATGGCAGGGCAGTCCCAGCAGCATAAGTAGGGCTCTTCTCTGTTGTGCCTGCCCTCAATGAGGTCGCACCACAATGCAAGCCTGCCCCTCTGCCAGCACAGATGTTTCTTTTAAGGCTGGACATTTGCATCACTGAAAGAGGAGAGGGAATAGTTTGACCTTAATGATCTTCCTCCTACTGATAGGTACACACCAACCTCAGATTTCCTACAACCTCTCCCATGTTAAGTGCTGGCAAAGGAGATATAAACATTTACTGAGATTGAGCTGCCTGAGAATACCCTCACTGCTCCCAAGGTGCCAGTTTACCAAATTCCACAGGGTAATTAATTGCCTCTCTAGTCCCAGATAGCTCTGACAGAGGTCTCCGAGGCCAGCCACTTCTCCTTGGTGTTTGACTTTGGTGATCAGTCCAGATGAAGCCAGTGTAAACCGATCATGTGGATAACAACAGCCCACTTCACATGAAAGTAGCCTGATGTGGGAGAACAAGGGGAGATGTCAGGCTGGAGAGGACATGCATGTGGCAGCACAAATAGGAAAGTTGGCCATGCTGCACCTTTAGTGTGCCACTAAATGGAAGATTTGTTGCAACACAACATTTATGAGCAATATCCTTACCACTGTGGGATCATTTGGCCTTATTTACCTTTAGTTTTTGCATGCACTGCCCTTTGCAGCACTGAGCTCCCACACGCACAGGATAACCTGCCTGAAACACTACATTCATACAGATGAATCTCTGCATGGAAGTGCTGCCTTGAGGGCCCCCTGCTTTGATGGAACACCTAATATTATTCACCCTGGAGCCTCTGAGACTGAAGAGAAGGACCCAAGAAGGGAGTGTTCTATGAATCACAGAGCATCCTGAATTGAAAGGGTCCCACAAGGATCTCTGATTTCGATTCCTGGCTCCACACAGAACCACTCAAAATCAGTCATGGAGGAGCTGACCATGGAGTAGCAATGCTTTAGCACTCAGGGGCTGCTGCCTTTTGAGTTGAAGATTCTCCAGCTTTTCTGGTAACAACATGGTCAGCCCAAAGCCTGGGGCCATGAGCTGAGCCTACTGCAAAAACGGTTGGGGAATGGCCTCCAGACCTCTCAAGAAACAGAGAAACACCTGCACTCTCCTCCCAGCCACCTCGTGCCTTCATGTCCCAGGCCTGAGCTGATGCATGATTTTCTGCCTCAACAACCAAAACCACTTTTTCTTTTGTCCTGCTCATCCTCCTCCTGCAGATGAGCAGAGCTCAGATCCAGGAATGCATTGACGCAGGACTCGATGTCAAAGCAGTTCATAGCCATGGGGGTTACTCAGTTCTGCTTTATATAAGTCGGTTCCAGTTGTAACTACGTGTTTGTAATTCAGGGAAATAAGTGTTCTTGGCGAAAAACTACAGACTATTTGGATTCTTATGCCACAGCCATAACCTTTGCTTCTAAGTGCTTGGTACTGACTGCAGGACAAGAACTTCACATCACAGGGGACACAGCAGGATCCCAGCCCTGCAGTCAGCAGCGTGCCTTTGCACAATCCCTGGCTCCCCAGATCCAGTGCCAAATCCAGCATTACTCTTCAAGGGCTCCTAACAGTGAGACTTGGAATTCTTTCCATTTTTAGATCATTTTAGATTTTTTTTTATTATTTTTTTAAATACTACCATGACCTAAATTACAGCACCATTTGGAAAAGGGGCTCACTTTTGGAATGAAGCAAAAAAAAAAAAAAACCCAACCAACAAACCAAGTGTTCACTAAGGGAGGGAAGGTTCAATCCACAAAAAAGCACCAGTTCCAGCCAGCTGCTAGACTCTCCAGGAGAGAAACTGCCTTCAAGCCCTGATAAATGCTATCAACCCCTGCTGGAGGACAAGCATGCATCAACCATCTGATAAAATGCAAGATACAAGGAAAGAGAAAGATGTGCAGGTCAGGACCATGCATGGTACTGTGCCTGCCTTGGTTCCTAATGCATCTAGGCACCCCCAGGAGTGAAATGACTATCAGAGTAACATCTGGACCTGCATCCTGCTTTTTCCCATGGCAAATGCTTCCCCAGTCCTGCTGTGCATCAGCAGAGCATGGACACAGGAACTCACTCAACTAAAAAAGAAAAAAAAAAATCTGTCTTCTCATCAATGCTAAAAATGCACATTAGTTCATGGAGCCATCCCTCCTCGGGATGCCCGGTGCCTCTCAAGCTATTAAACTGACCACTTTTTAAGGAGAACAGACTCTGAGAGTGTCACACTTAGAAAGGAAAATAAGCTGACACAGTCTCTCTTTTCTAAACACAGAAACCAAACAAACATACATCTTAACATCAAATTCCCCTCCTTTTCCCCGCCTTAAATCCACAGAGGCTCAACTATACCTTGTTGATGACTGAACTGCCAAATTCCAAGTTTTAAATTAAAGCTGTCTTTGAGCTATGAGAGCTCAAAAAAGCACTTGAGACCACAGAACAGCCAGCTACGTTTTTTCCCTTTTTGTCTTTTTATACTTTTATAATCTGATGCCTGGTGTAGTAAAGAAGGCAGCAATGTAAAAACGGCCCTTTGGCCCAATATATATTTTCCCTCTGGAGCTTTGAGCTATATCTTTTAATTTAATAGTACTCAAAACTTGTTTTTAGCACTGCAAAGATTACGGAGCTAAGGAGGAGAAGCTGGAGCCTATCCTGACTCTGAAGCGAGTGCCTACATGGATAAACAGTACCTATGCTCTGGGCAGGGAGGTTACTCAGCCACTAATCCCAACAAAGTGCAACAGGATGGCATGGCAGATGGATGCTGGCTCCATGTGTCTCCTCCCAGCCCACTTTCCCCAACTCTCCTGCCAGCCCCAGAGGACAAAGCCTCCAGCACAGCACCGCTGCCAGCCATACCTGCACCCTGTCAGCGTGTGCAGTGCCACCATGGGTGCAGCCTGCCCTTGCCCAAGCATGCTAGAGAAGGCAGCCAAAGGATTCTCACTGCAGATTTGGCCACGCTGGCTCATCTCCCCATGCTGGGTCTGAAGGTACACTGACAAAAGGCAATCACCTCTCTTCCTGGGGGTATGGTCATTTATAGGTGCTGGAAAAGCAGGGATCCTATTGGAAAAGAAGGGGGCAGCATAGGCAAATTAATCTAGTAGCTTGGAATGGGCTGAAATGTTTGAGAGGAAAGAAGGTACACGATGAATGAAGGACTGCAGCACTGTGATATAAGGCAGAGCAGCTGGAAAGCAGACAAGATGTACACGGCAGGACTTTCTCAGTTTCTGTCAGAATTTCAGAGTTGTCCCACCATCACGTAACAGCGCTCCTAAGGTTGTTGTACAACACCTGCAATGTGCAAACTTTCCACTGCAAACAAGCAAGTCTGCTTGCACACCTGGAAACATACATCACCATTTACATGGCTGTTCCCTTTGGGGGGGAAAAAAGAAATCTTGTGTTGCTCTACCAGCTTTTCCAAAGAAAACCAAGAGAAGATCCTGCTGGAAATGCACATATGCAGTATGCTCGATCTCAATGTACACCAAGATGGAGTTTTGGCATTTCACATGGTGTGATTCTAGGCAAAAACTGAATTCAATGTCTGTGATTTCACAAGATGGTCTGCATTCCAGCCTAGGTTTGAGGACTCCTGTAAGTCTCCTTACATGAGATTCCTTCTCCCGTTATACTGCAGATGCAACCTGCACCCCCAAAGAGCAGCATCCCACTTTCTTGCTTTTGTACATCAATGCAAAAAAGAAACATCCCAAGAAGCGACCCCAGTTCCCAGCCAGAAAGGGCTTTCCATGATTACCTGTGACAGTTGACACCCTGGAAACATCCTGAGCTTGAGTAGAACGGTTTCGATTTTGCTGCCTGCGCCTGTTTGTCGCTGACCTCGTCGTCCGGACGTGGACTTCGCTCACTTTGAAGAATGCCACCATGAAAGGCTGCTTGTCATAAGGGCCATCTCGCCCTATAAGGCCTGCTTCTCTAGGATTTACACTGAAACCTTCAAATCGAACAGGAGAGTTAGAGAAATTGTGCAGTTGGATTGGTGTTTCCAGAGCTGCAGCATCCCCAGAAGCACTATTTCTTCTCTTCTTGATCATGCTGTTTCTCTTTTATTGCTTCCCTTCTGTCACTATAACCTACTGACACTTTTACAACAGCAACCTGTCCACCCGAGACAAGAGGCTCCATCATGGCACTTAGCTCTTTGGACTCCTGTGGTACCTATACTCCATTTTAGGCCTTAAATTGGTTCAGAGAAAGATACATAAAACAAAACAAAGCCTGGTTGTCTCAGGACATTATTCTGCTGATCCATGACCTACCGTCGCGGGTCACCACGCTCAGCTGGAGTCCCATGTTGTGCTGCGGATTCATCACCCACATGTTACTGGTGGCAGTGACATCAAACTCCAACCAGCCCTCCTCCGAAGCCCATACTGCCCGTGTATCCAGCAGAAACAGGTCAGAGGCTCTGCAGAGAAGAGTAATGAGAAGATAGTGATATCTGGGTTTTTCTCCCCTAGCTTTTGCTGTTATAGTGCTGGGGGAAACAAAAGCAGAAATCATTAGAAGAAATATTTACAGCTATTAAAAAACAACCTCCAAACTCTGCCTGTTTGTATCCAGAGTTCTTCCACACCATGCACATGCTTCCGCATGTGAAACAAGATTGAAAAGTTTTTTCCACTGTTTTCTAGGCTGGAGGAAAAGGAATCTCAGTCCTTAGGTCTGGGCGTTTCTCCATCAGCAAGAGATTCATAAGCCACTCTTCTTCCTGAAGAGAGTAATTCTAGCCCTGGCAGGATAGCAGTCAAATTACCAGCACTTCCAGGCATTCAATGACTTTTTTGAAAGGGTTTTAGTGGTTTCAGCCCAACTTCCACAAAGCAGATCTACCACAATTGACAAAAATAAATATTAAAAAAATCAAGCAATACGCCAAGCATCAAAAACTGAAACAAGATGAACTACCACAAGGCCCATAAAGTCATTTTGCTATGGTTTAGAAACATGGATTAGAGAGGGTTGCTCCAAGGATGTTGGTACTGGCTCTCCTTCCTGGGCTTCAGCTTCAAATGCTATCAAATCTATGCCTTTTCTATGCAGGATCAAGCAAGCACAAAAATTCAGCTCAGTGAAATCAACTGTAGAAGGACCCAGAGAAATCCTGTATACATATTACATGCATAACTTTTCTGTTTAAGAGAGTTACGATTCCTGTCCTTAACAGGGGATCAGCAACACAAAGTGGATACCAGGCACCAGTCTCATCTTCACTTGCCTATGTCCCTGTGGAATTTTTTTATCTAACAATACCTCACTGGAAAAACAGAGTACCTATCCCTTCCACCCATCAAAGGTTAACTTCAGAAAAAAAGAAGTTTTGATTGAGTTACATTTTATTTTTGGCCAACTGCTATGTCATACTGCCCAGCAGCTTGGTTTACATGACATCACACATGGAAAAATAAGCACTTAAGTATATTAGGGCTCCTCGTGTGGCTATTTTTACAACGTGGAGGCCTTCCTCTGCCTCGCTGGTAGCCGCACTCTGTGGTTGACTCAGCAGCCTTTCCCACAGGAGTCTCTGCCACCGCTCCTCTAATGGGAAGAGGGTTCAGGGATGACTCTGACCTTCCCCTCCAACTGCAGTGAGTGGTCGGGGCATCTATCCCAAATCAAACAGCTCTGGCTGCAAAGCTGCTGGGAGCTCTGTAAGATCAAATACTGTATAGGCCTTCACGAACACTCAAGCATATGGAATTAGTCAACTCTGCAAAAATGTAAAGAGGAGGCTTAGGCCTTAATTCACAGAAACACACACGAAATAGAATGGTTTGGGTTGGAAGGAGCCTTTAAGATCATCTAGTTCCAACACCCCGCTATAGGCAGGGACACCTCCCTCTGAACCAGGTTGCTCAAAGCCCCATCCAGCCTGGCACTGAATGCCTCCATGGAGGGAACATCCATAGCCTCACTGGGCAAATTCCCATTGCCTTGCACTTTGTAAAGGTACTTGGCCATCACAGACCTATAAAGCCAGAAAGAACCAAATGTCATTCATCCCTTGAACTTCCAGCAGGATCAACTACATTCACATCACTCCTGTGAGATATTTGCCTGACCTGATCTCCCAGATTTCCAGTCTCTACAAGTCTACCATCTTTCCAGGAAGTCCAATATGCTTCACTTGCAGGTTTTCTGTTTTGTTTTCTATTTTATCTCTAATTTCTAACTAAAATGACATAAAAATCTTTTCTCATAACAACATCAAGTCTCCAGTCTTTCCTTGCAAGTCATCTTTTCTAGACTCAACTGTTCTCATTGCTATTTTATAGACCCAGCTTTGATCAAGATCCGACGGATCCAGAGTGGAGGGATAATTTTAATGCGTCTCAGAGACTGTACTTCTACTTGCATACCACAGAATAGTATTTTGGCTTTTTCACAAAACCCACGCTGTTAACTCATGATCGCCTTGTGATTCACTATAATCCTTATATTCATGCTGCTGAACTGCAAAGTACCCAGTCACTTCCTAGGGTGTATTTACATCAATGAATTATCATGCCTTCTTTCTACCAAATCACACTTTTTTTCCTCCATCATTACAGATTTGTCTTCCATTGGATCTTCCCCATCTCAGTGTCCTCCAAAAATATAATAATCGAACTGTCTGACCAAGGTACAGTGCTACCAAATGAGAATGCTCCACTTCAGCCCAGTATTTCACACTGTCTCTGGGCAAATTTAAATTCATTCATTAAATGCAGAAAAAAAGGGACAAGTGAGCTTTCCAATCCAGTTAACAATTTTTAAAAATAAAGAGTTAATACAGGACTGTTTTTTAGACAGTTCCTCCATTCAGCTGGCTTTTGCCCTGCTTGGCTGGATGAAGCCATGCAGATTCAGGTGCTGCAGATACCACGCATACCAGATAGATATTAGCATGTAACATGCTCATATTTTCTGCCTGTTTTCAGTTAATGTTTGTCACTTGAACCTCACCAGGCTACAAAACATTGTGACTTGGCATTCCTCTGCTTCTAGAATTATGTGGGAAACCACTGGAACCTTCCTGGAGGGATGGCTTACTGAGGGGAACAACCTGCAACTGCTGCCATTTGTGGCAACATAGCTGCCAACAGAAAGGCAGGCTTTAGTGATGTGAATCCCACACTCCTCATCTTGCTCCTAATACATTCACATGGAAATGCAGCCACCTAACTGCATTTACTCATCTTTTTTTTTTTTTTTTTTTTTCCTCAAATTCTGCTTTATAAAGACCACAGAGAACATTTTTATTCCAATCCTCTCGTATTAGGACTGCAAAAGAAGGCAGGGAAGTGTAAGAGCTATTGCTGTTGCATAGCCTTACTACCATTCCTGATTCTGGTCCATAGGCTGACTTTGGCAGGGACCATTTTTGTTCTCTTGTTTTTGCCTACTGGGTCCATACTCTCTGACCTTACCAGTTTCAAAAGTTGGAGCCCACACACAGCAGACAAGCAGGGGTCTCCTGCAAATGAAGGATGTTGCTGGATAAAAGAAAAACAACATCTGAAAATGGCAACTAAACCTTGTGGAGACAGTCTGTCCCCAGTAGTATATGCATCAGCTTTTTGTCTGCACTAAACAATGCCACAAATTTCCCTTTACAGGCAGGTCAAGAAGGAAATGGTTTAGGAAGAATGCAAACACCATGTTGAAGACTGCTGTACACAAGCAAATGCAAGTCCATATTCAAGGCGAAATCTTAAGAGTGGACAAGAAAGTAAATCTTCTCTGCCTAAACCTGCCTCAGGGTTTTTAGGCAACTATTGTTACATCTTACTGTTACTACAGTGTTCGACAGTTTCACTTATATTTTCAGTCTGCCTAACCATCTGGATAAGTTTAATTAACAACTTCCATTATGAGGGTGCTGCAGGCGTAATATATATTATTAAAGACAAACAAAAGGAACTAAGCCTATGAGCTGAAAAACTTTCCTGAGACAAGACAGGACATTAATCATATTATGGCTTAGGTTGGGAGGGACCTTAAAGCCCATCCAGCTCCAACCCTGTGCCATGGGCAGGGCTGCTCCCCACCAGCTCAGGCTGCTCAGGGAGCCATCCAACCTGGCCTTGAGCCTCCAGGGATGAGGCACCACAGCTCCTCTGGGCAGCTATGCCAGCACTCACCATGCTCTGTGTAAAGAATTTCTTCTTATCATCTCGCCTAATTTCCTCTCTTTTAGTTTAAAGCCATTTAAAGTCAGTCCCCCTCCTGTAATCCCTTCAAGTGCTGACAAGCTGCAATGTGGCCTCCACAAAGGAAGACGCAAGCTAAGGATTCCTAACTCAAACTAGGATCTCTGTCCAGGATCAGGGCTCAAGATATTGCCTCAAGTCCCAGGAAAGAAATGGAGGTCTTTCCATGGCCTTCAGAAGGCACTGGAGGAGGATTGAGAAGCTAAGGTCAACGAAGCAATCACAAGTGGCTGCAATAAACAAAAAGAAGTACACAGTTTACAGTAGAAATGGAGTCTGTGTGATTCAGAAGGCAGGATTTAGCTCTAGTGTCCACGGAGAGTAATATGATTTGTCAGATATAAATATCAGATATAGCTGCTATTCTTAAAACCGGCATCCCAACCATGCACTCAGGGCATTTACAGGAGAAACAGCTTGCATTTAATTTCAGTGCTTTTCCCCCCCCCACAAGAAAAATATTTTGTTAACTTAAACCTCTGTGTAAACCTTTCAAGAAAATGTCTCTGGGTGTTAATTCTCTTTAATTGAACACTAATTAGATTAGAATTTAGTCAAATTAGTAACCAGGTCAAGTGATTAATCTAAGTAACTATACTTAGTGAAACATTCCCATTAAAGTAATTTCTCTGTTTTGGCTACACATTACAACATGGAACTTTGCTACACCAAAAACACCAAAGCTATAAAAAGCTAAATATAAAGACACATATGTTGAGCTAAATTTTCTACTTTCCCACCCTCCCTGGCCTTTTTTCCCTGAGAAGGAAGGAGTTTTACCAGGGAGACAGTGAGAATAAACAGAACTCTCACCTTCAAAATGACCAAGTTAAAGGTCTCTTATTTTAATTACAGAGCTCAGAACAACATTTTTGGCCCAACTTCAAAGCTTGCAATTACCCAGGTGTTTAAAGGATTGTTACGCATCAACAGCCATTTACCAAAGCATTAATTACTTTAAATCTCTAAAACTTTCCTCATCTGAGCCTTTTTGTTTACTTTTCTTCAAAGACAAGTTGACATAATAGTCTAGACTGCCTAACAGCAGTTTCTCAAAAGGGAATTTTGAACAGAAATGCATGGGATTTACATTTTAATTAACACACTTAGTAAATAGTATTTTCTTTTGAGTCCCTCTGGATATGAGTCTTAGTTTGAACAGACACTGCCTTTCTATAAAATGATTCTGCACATAGCAAACTATGAAGATTATTTG